GTGGGGAGCCATCGTCGATCACCCTGGGGTGTGGGGAGCCAGCATATAGATCCCCTGGGGTGTGGGGAGCCAGCATATAGATCCCCTGGGGTGTGGGGAGCCAGCATATAGGTCCCCTGGGGTGTGGGGAGCCAGCATATAGGTCCCTCCCCAGGGTGTGGGGAGCACCAGCATATAGGTCCCCTGGGGTGTGGGGAGCCAGCATATAGGTCCCCTGGGGTGTGGGGAGCCATCGTGGATCACCCTGGGGTGTGGGGAGCCAGCATATAGATCCCCTGGGGTGTGGGGAGCCAGCATATAGATCCCCTGGGGTGTGGGAGCCAGCATATAGGTCCCCTGTGGTGGTGGGGAGCCAGCATATAGGTCCCCTGGGTGTGGGGAGCCAGCATATAGGTCCCCTGGGGGTGTGGGGAGCCAGCATATAGATCCCCTGGGGTGTGGGGAGCCAGCATATAGCTCCCCTGGGGTGTGGGGAGCCAGCATATAGGTCCCCTGGGGTGTGGGTAACCAGTATATAAGTCCCCTGGGGTGTGGGGAGCCAGTATGGATCACTCTTGGGTGTGGGTAGCCAGTATATAAGTCCCCTGGGGTGTGGGAGCCATCATGGATCACCCTGGGGTGTGGGTACCAGTATATAAGTCCCCTGGGTGTGGGGAGCCATCATGGATCACCCTGGGGTGTGGGTAGCCAGTATATAAGTCCCCTGGGGTGTGGGGAGCCATCATGGATCACCCTGGGGTGTGGGAGCCATCATGGATCACCCTGGGGTGTGGGGAGCCATCATGGATCACCCTGGGGTGTGGGGAGCCATCATGGATCACCCTGGGGTGTGGGGAGCCATCATGGATCACCCTGGGGTGTGGGGAGCCATCATGATGGTTGATTCATGATTCAATGGCTTGCACTAAAGTTAACAGCAATATCATTTGAAGTCTGATGAGCGAAATTGCAATTAAAGATGTAAATTGCAATATGTTCCCGGTTGTTCTGTACTCGCGGTTCATGTCTGGTACTCGCGGTTCATGTCTGGTACTCGCGGTTCATGTCTGGTACTCGCGGTTCATGTCTGGTACTCGCGGTTCGTGTCTGGTACTCGCGGTTCATGTCTGGTACTCGCGGTTCATGTCTGATACTCGCGGTTCATGTCTGGTACTCGCGGTTCATGTCTGGTACTCGCGGTTCATGGCTGGTACTCACGGTTCATGTCTGGTACTCGCGGTTCATGTCTGATACTCGCGGTTCATGTCTGGTACTCGCGGTTCATGTCTGGTACTCGCGGTTCATGTCTGATCCTCGCGGTTCATGGCTGGTACTCGCGGTTCATATGTCTGGTACTCGCGGTTTCATGTCTGGTACTCGCGGTTCATGTCTGGTACTCGCGGTTCATGTCTGATACTCGCGGTTCATGTCTGGTACTTGCGGTTCATTTGTCTGGTACTCGCGGTTCATGTCTGATACTCGCGTTCATGTCTGGTACTCGCGGTTCATGTCTGGTACTCGCGGTTCATGTCTGATACTCGCGGTTCATGTCTGGTACTCGCTGTTCATATGTCTGGTACTCGCGTTTCATGTCTGGTACTCGCGCGGTTCATGTCTGGTACTCGCGGTTCAAATGTCTGGTACTCGCGGTTCATGTCTGATCCTCGCGGTTCATGTCTGGTACTCGCGGTTCATGTCTGGTACTCGCGGTTCATGTCTGGTACTCGCGGTTCATATGTCTGGTACTCGCGGTTCATGGCTGGTACTCACGGTTCATGGCTGGTACTCGCAGTTCATATGGCTGGTACTCACGGTTCATGTCTGGTACTCGCGGTTCATGTCTGGTACTCGCGGTTCATGTCTGATACTCGCGGTTCACATGTCTGGTACTCGCGGTTCATATGTCTGGTACTCGCGGTTCATGGCTGGTACTCACAGTTCATGGCTGGTACTCGCAGTTCATATGGCTGGTACTCACGGTTCATGGCTGGTACTCGCGGTTCATGTCTGGTACTCGTGGTTCATGTCTGGGTCTCGCGGTTCATATGTCTGGTACTCGCGGTTCATGTCTGGTACTCGCGGTTCATATGTCTGGTACTCGCGGTTCATATGTCTGGTACTCGCGGTTCATGTCTGGTACTCGCGGTTCATATGTCTGGTACTTGCGGTTCATATGTCTGGTACTCGCGGTTCATATGTCTGGTACTCGCGGTTCATGTCTGGTACTCGCGGTTCATATGTCTGGTACTCGCGGTTCTTCTTTGGTACTCTTTTCCCCACACCATACCCCCCTCCCCCCACCCCCCATTCCGTGGTAAAGTAGTTTAACTGAGCGTCCTGGACCTATTAGGGCGGATCATGGCCAGATGGGCAGGAGTCAGTTTTGACTAAGTTGGTTTGCAAGTTAGGTTAAGTTAGCGCAAGATGCGATGAGGAATAACGTGATTTAGGGTCATTAAGGGTGTGGATCATGTGCTTCACGACGGGGGGTAGGTCACCAGGGGGGAAGATCACCTGGGGGGAAGGTCACCTGGGGTAGGTCACCTGGGAGAAGGTCACCTGGGGGAAGGTCACCTGGGGGGAAGGTCACCTGGGGGAAGGTCACCTGGGGGAAGGGTTGACTCCTGTCTCGTCTCAATCATCACTATACTCAACTATACTATTATTATTGTATTTTTGAAATTATTATTATTCATCCCATGCTTTATGATGGCAACTTTATGATATATATATATATATATGTATATATATATATATATATATATATATATATATATATTATATATATATATATATATATATTATATTTATATCTATATATAATACAGCCTAGAGTTTGGCCAATTGAAACATTAGAACAAACTCTATTAACCCGAATGTTTAATGTTGACACAAAACCCAGGAGCGAGAGACGAGAGAGAGAGAGAGAGAGAGAGAGAGAGAGAGAGAGAGAGAGAGAGAGAGAGAGAGAGAGAGAGAGAGAGAGAGAGAGAGAGAGAGAGAGAGAGAGAGAGAGAGAGAGAGAGAGAGAGAGAGAGAGAGAGAGAGAGAGAGAGAGAGAGAGAGAGAGAGAGGAAAGAGAGAGACCCGGCTGTGCCCGGGTCTCTCTCTCTCTCCTTCCACTTCCACACACACACATACAGTTTCAAAATGTTATACGACAAAGAGTGCTGGGAAGACGGAACACCACGAGCGTAGCGCTCATCCTGTAAATACACTTAGGTCTATGTATAAATTGATAATTTAAAAATTTAGTAATTTTTAAAATGACATGACAGATTATGAATCTAATCACAAGAAAGGCAGAATAAGCCCAGGTGATGCACAGCTCTCTTGATCACATGGGAGACAATGCCCAGACAACGAGAGCAAACGAGGCAGTAAGACTAAGATCTGTAATCTCTGTAATGGTGTAATAATTCTCTTGCCGTGGACAAGAGAGTAGCAGCGCTCTTCCCTGACAGCCCTGAATGAAACTGGGGGGGGGACTGAACTGGGGGGAAGGGCCTGAACTGGGGGGGGGGGGCTGAACTAGGGGGGGACTGAACTGGGGGAGGACTGAACTGGGGGGGGAACTGAACTGGGGGGGGGGGGGACTGAACTGGGGGGGAGGGACTGAACTGGGGAGGACTGAACTGGGGGGGGACTGAACTGGGGGGACTGAACTGGGGGGAGGGACTGAACTGGGGGGGGACTGAACTGGGGGGGGACTGAACTGGGGGTGAGGGACTGAACTGGGGGGGACTGAACTGGGGGGGACTGACCTGGGGGGGACTGAACTGGGGGGACTGAACTGGGGGGACTGAACTGGGGGGAGGGGACTGAACTGGGGGGGTACTGAACTGGGAGGGGACTGAACTGGGTGGGGACTGAACTGGGGGGGACTGAACTGGGGGGGACTGAACTGGGGGGAACTGAATTGGGGGGGACTGAACTGAAGGGGGACTGACTGGGGGGGACTGAACTGGGGGGGTGACTGAACTGGGGGGGGACTGAACTAGGGGGAACTGAACTGGGGGGGGTGTACTGGAGCAGGCCACCAGCCACACAAATGTATACTGGGAGTGGTTCATTCCACCCCCACCAGTCACTAAACAGTCTCTACATACCCCCACCTTCCCTGCCCGCTATGTGAATTCCCAAACAGGTCTCCGTTTTTATCTTGGGATCGATCAAGCAGAAAATGTATGACTCCTGTTGCAGATGATTTGATGAATATATTGTTACTGCAACTCATCCTCATGTTTAGATAGTACCTATTGTGACAGTCGTCAATAGTCGCGAATTAGTACTTTCTTAGCTCTTAGACAGTAGTATACTGACTAGTAAGGTAATCTTAAAGATGAAGCTAAAGAGCAAACTTAAATATTCCTAGGCCTAGTGTAGCACACATAGGTACTATATTTGGCCTCATATATCGTGTAGTAGATATGTGAGCCCTACGTAGTAGACATATATGGAAGGTTAGGTTAGGTTAGTTAGTCATAGCAACACAAGTAATAAATAGTTTTCCGGTTTGTCCAAATCAATAGTTCAGATTTCTACTTTATATATATATATATATATATATATTAATGCTAAAGAAATGAATGTAATCTTCCAAGAAAGCAGTCTCCATCTCCATCTATGAGTGAACTGGTGGAGGAGAGTGGTGGCACTCGCCTCCCCCACGAGTGACAGACGACTCCACTACTCTCGTGAGTGACGTGAGGCAGCTGACACGGTGCACTACACTACAGGCTGCTTGCTCCACTCACGCCCAAAGAGGTTTGGATGGTTATACACTGTTGGGGGGGGGGGAGAGGGGGGAGGCCCTGCCCCATATGATCTGACTGCTCCCCCTCAACACTCTTTCTCACCTCTCTCTCTCTCTCTCTCTCTCTCTCTCTCTCTCTCTCTCTCTCTCTCTCTCTCTCTCTCTCTCTCTCTCTCTCTCTCTCTCTCTCTCTCTCTCTCTCTCTCTCTCTCTCCTTCATAACACTTACCCATGTTAAACACACTAAGAGCCTCCCCGCCCACAGTAAGAGCCTCCCCGCCCACAGCAAGAGCCTCCCCGCCCCACAACAAGGGCCTCCTCGCCCACAGCAAGAGCCTCCCCGCCCCCAGCAAGGGCCTCCTCGCCCCACAGCAAGAGCCTCCCCGCCCACAGCAAGCCTCCCCGCCCACAGCAAGGGCCTCCTCGCCCACAGCAAGAGCCTCCCCGCCCACAACAAGGGCCTCCTCCCGCCCACAGCAAGAGCCTCCCCGCCCACAGCAGGCCTCCTCGCCCACAGCAAGAGCCTCCCCGCCCACAGCAAGAGCCTCCTCGCCCACAGCAAGAGCCTCCCCGCCCACAGCAAGAGCCTCCTCGCCCACAGCAAGAGCCTCCCAGCCCACAGCAAGAGCCTCCTCGCCCCCAGCCTCCCAGGAGCCTCCCCCCCACAGCAAGAGCCTCCTCGCCCACAGCACGAGCCTCCCCGCCCACAGCAGAGCCTCCCCGCCCACAGCAAGGACTTACTCCCCGCCCCGCCCACAGCAAGAGCCTCCCCGCCCACAGCAAGAGCCTTCCCGCCCACAGCAAGAGCCTCCCCGCCCACAGCAAGAGCCTCCCCGCCCACAGCAAGAGCCTCCCCGCCCACAGCAAGAGCCTCCCCGCCCACAGCAAGAGCCTCCTCGCCCACAGCAAGAGCCTCCCCGCCCACAGTAAGAGCCTCCCCGCCCACAGCAAGAGCCTCCCCGCCCACAGCAAGAGCCTCCCCGCCCACAGCAAGAGCCTCCCCGCCCACAGCAAGAGCCTCCCCGCCCACAGTAAGGAGCCTCCCCGCCCACAGCAAGAGCCTCCCCGCCCACAGCAAGAGCCTCCCCGCCACACAGGGCCTCCCCGCCCACAGTAGAGCCTCCCCGCCCACAGCAAGGGCCTCCCCGCCCACAGTAAGAGCCTCCCCGCCCACAGCAAGGGCCTCCCCGCCCACAGTAAGGGCCTCCCCGCCCACAGTAAGAGCCTCCCCGCCCACAGCAAGGGCCTCCCCGCCCACAGCAAGAGCCTCCCCCGCCCACAGCAAGAGCCTCCCCGCCCACAGCAAGAGCCTCCCCGCCCACAGCAAGAGCCTCCCCGCCCACAGCAAGAGCATCAAGACAAGAGAGTTCTTCAACAAACAGCTGGACAAATAAGAGTTAAGAGCAGCGAGACACCAAAGGTCAGACATCACCCATGTCAGCAAGGCTCCCAGCACCTCACTGGTGGCAGGGGGTCACCCTGCAAACTCCTTCTCTCCATATTGTAAAAATATACAATTATTTTTACGTAACGAGAAACGTATGAAATCCATCTGACCTTTCAAGGACGATGTATAGCAAGCGTTATTATTACGGTGCTTTAATCTTTAGTAATACATCGCAATTTGTAACGCATGTGTCACTTACGTAGAAAAAGGCGACAGATAAGGTGAGAGATATGTATAAGTAGAGATTATGTATAAGGATATTTGTTTAAATTTGAGTTAAAACTAGCGTAGATATATAGACCGATATATATATAATTTATATAACGTAGATATATGAATCTAACCAAGCCTACCTAACCTAACCTAACTTATCTAAACCTAACCTAAACTATCACAACTAAGGCAATAAATTAACAGGGGGGGAAAGCGCCAAGCCATTACGACTATATAGCACTGGAAAGGGGTCAGGATATGGATTTGGGATGGGACGGGGGGAAAGGAATGGTGCCCAACCACTTGTGGATGGTCGGGGATTGAACGCCGACCTGCATGATGCGAGACCGTCGCTCTACCGTCCAGGCCAAGCCAGGTGGGCGAGAGATGAGGTAAGATGATAGGTAACTACAGCATCTGCAGCATCAGGAGACTAATATGAGCCATTCAGGAAACACTTCGAGTCGTTCTCCTGGTGGAGTTTTAGAGTATTGAGTAGTTAAGTAGTTAGTGGTCTAGTAGTTAGTGGTAGTTAGTGAGTAGTAGTAGTTAGTAGTCTAAACTATTTAGAGTAGTTTTATTTAGTATTGTACTCCTTGCTACAGTATTTGTCCTGGCTACAGTATAAGGCGGAGGGAGTCCAGAAGTGGGAGAGAGCCTTTAGTTTTTCTCTTGTATTCTCTCAGCATATCACACTCTCTTTCCCGTTCTTTTTTTCGCTCTCTCTTTCTTTCTTTAACTCCATAAATCTCCAAGTACTCGACGGGGACCTTAAGCTCTTTAAATACAAGTAACATTATTCCTTTAAAATGTTTAGCAGAAAGACAAAACCCGCCTGTACATACCGGATAAAGAGTGAGCATTAGGCCCCGGTTGCGTGCACTCACATCATTGTTGGGGGTGCTGGGAGGGGGCTGGGAGGAGCTGGGAGGAGCTGGGAGGAGCTGGGAGGAGCTGGGAGGAGCTGGGAGGAGCTGGGAGGAGGGGCTGGGCTGGGAGGAGCTGGGAGGGGCTGGGAGGAGCTGGGAGGAGCTGGGAGGAGCTGGGAGGATCTGGGAGGTGCTGGGAGGAGCTGGGAGGGGCTGGGAGGAGCTGGGAGGGGGCTGCACGTCAGCCCCTACTCAATATTTACCCAATCTGGGGCTCTGAAGAGCTGTACAATAGTACTAACCCACTACTGAGGGCTTGGGAAAGGCGACACTAAGCCCAACCGTTTTGTCTAGCCATCCCTGAAAGCTTGCAAGAACTACACCCATCATCATTGGGTCTACTCACTTCTGGGAGCTACGCAGGGCTGCACACAAGCCTCCACTGTGTGTGTGTTGAAGAAGCCTTGGAGAAGCCTCCAACTTATCTGGTCTGCTGAGAACTACGTGCAAGCCACAAGCACAGTCATTGATGTGTTATTGCAACTGCCATCGAGGAATACACACCTGTCCCGCACAGCCTGGGACACATCTGCCACATTCAGCTTGGGGGCGGGAGGACTCCAAATCTACACACACACCTGTCACACACAGTCTGGAGTGGTGGGACTCCACATCTACACACACCTGTCACACACAGTCTGGAGTGGCGGGACTCCACATCTACACACACCTGTCACACACAGTCTGGAGTGGCGGGACTCCACATCTACACACACCTGTCCCTCGGTCTGCTACGCAACAAAAGGATAGCTGTAGATACCATTTACGGACACCATGAACCCAAATACGAAAATAAGAAAAAGAGTGTAGGAAGAGGCAATCCAGGAAGACCCTTCGCAGGAAGCAGGAAGGAGCACCACTCAACTGCTAAAAAGGAAAAGGAGAAACAGAGGAGGCCAAACTAAAGAAGACGGAAGTCAGAGAAAAGAGAAGAGGGCGGAAGGGGAGGAGGAAGAAGGAAACTGTGAAAGAGATCCTGACACGGATGTATATATGTTGTTGTTAAAGATTCGCTACCTGGAACAAAGTTCCAAGTAGCACGGGCTATGGTGAGCCCGTAGTGCCTTTTTTTCATGTATATATGGAGGAGCCAAACAAAATATAGAACGTTTTGGAGGGCTCAGGCCTGGAAAATACCTGACTGGGTTTTGAGAGTTATTCTAGTCCCCAACTCGGGGACTATAAAATGGTCCCAAACCGAAGGTTCTTTTTGGTGTGGTAACTTGTCTGTACCATCCACAGCTCTGGTGGTCCAGACACTTCCTGCAGGAAATTGCCTGTTTGGTCTTGAATTCGTCCCCTTTTATTCTGGTACTTGGGAGAAAATCAATTGTGGGAGCAAATGTAATGTTGACAAGTGTACAAGCTTGAGACACAGGCAGGAGTGAGAGTGTAGCACCTGCTCCCACGGCAACCTTGGGTACCATTAACCTCTAGTTTACCCCCAACACGAAGGAATATATATATATATATATATATATATATATATATATATATATATATATATATATATATATATATATATATATATATATATATATATGCAATTGACGATCACAAAACACTGATCATTTTATGCGGAAAATCCACAGAGAAATATGAAATGAGGTGAACGTTTCGGCTTTGTTAAAGCCTTTGTCAACACCAGACTGACTAAGGAGAAGGGAGAAGGGGAGGATATATAGGCCGACACCTGACCAACCCATCCCTAGGGTTGGTCAGGTGTAATTAACCAAAACCAGGTATAGCTTAGCTTAAAATGGTCAAAGAGGATTAAGCGGTCAGAGAATAAGGATGAAAGATTAAAGAAAAGAAAGAATCCTTATTCTCTGACCGCTTAATCCTCTTTGACCATTTTAAGCTAAGCTATACCTGATTTTGGTTAATTACACCTGACCAACCCTAGGGATGGGTTGGTCAGGTGTTGGCCTATATATCCTCCCCCTTCTCCCTTCTCCTTAGTCTGGTGTTGACAAAGGCTTTAACAAAGCCGAAACGTTCACCTCATTTCATATTTCTCTGTGGATTTTCCGCATATATATATATATATATATATATATATATATATATATATATATATATATATATATATATATTATTAAATATGACCGAAAAAGTAAGATTAATAATTCTAACACGAATTTTCTCAATCTTTCGTACATTACGCTTCACTGTTGGAGGTAAATCAAAAATCAATTCTCCAAAATTCATTTTTATTTCTAGTCTGACACGACACGGGCGCGTTTCGTAAAACTTATTACATTTTCAAAGACTTTAGTTCACAAATACACAACTGAATAGAACTTACGTATCTCCGATTTTATATCTACATTTGAGTGAGGTGGAAGGGGTGATGTGGCATTAACACAAGACAGAACAAAATGTGGTATTAATAGGGTATTAATTTCATCATATGAAATTAATATATTTCATTAATTAATATATTAATTATATATTAATATATTAATTTCATATGAAATTAATACCCTATTAATACCACATTTTGTTCTGTCTTGTGTTAATGCCACATCACCCCTTCCACCTCACTCAAATGTAGATATAAAATCGGAGATACGTAAGTTCTATTCAGTTGTGTATTTGTGAACTAAAGTCTTTGAAAATGTAATAAGTTTTACGAAACGCGCCCGTGTCGCGTCAGACTAGAAATATAAATGAATTTTGGAGAATTGATTTTTGATTTACCTCCAACAGTGAAGCGTAATGTACGAAAGATTGAGAAAATTCGTGTTAGAATTATTAATCTTACTTTTTCGGTCATATTTAATAATATATGTCTACAGGAAAGACTGCTACCAAAATATATATATATATATATATATATATATATATATATATATATATATATATATATATATATATATATATATATATATATATTTATACAGAGCCGTAAGTAGAGATGAGACACCTACGGGAGTGAGAGATGGACCCCGTCTGGGATACAATGCTACAATATTATGACAAGATGATTTATGCAAGAAATTGTTGTTTTGAACGCTGCCACCACTCCTCATAAACGTAAGTAATTGGATAATTACTGTAATTAATAATGTCCTTGTCACTAAGGAGGAAGTCATGGATATCACAGAGACTTAGAGTCTTTTGATAATTATTGAAGTGACAATTAAGTGTTAACACTATTAAATTCTGCAGGCTTCATTGCTGATGAATACTTCAGCTTTGTTAATTATTTGATGGCTTGGAGGACCAGTGAATGAGGCCAAGAATGACGGGAAGCCCAGGTGATATAGTCTCATGCAGGCGAGGAGTCACAATAACCTGCCTGAAATATGTTGACCAGACCACACACTAGAAGGTGAAGGGCCGACGACGTTTCGGTCCGTCCTGGACCATTCTCAAATCGATTGAAAAGTCGTTCCGGTCCAGGACGGACCGAAACGTCGTCGTCCCTTCACTTTCTAGTGTGTGGTTTGGTCAACATATAGTCTCATATAAATCACCAAAGGACATACAGTGAAATAACAAATGAACTTTAACGAAGTAGTTTACTAGTACAAATCAATTATATCCTATTTGATAATATCCTACCCAATGAGCAGGCAATGTGTCAAATTACCCGGAATAAAACTCTTGGAACATTAACCTCCTTTTCCACTGCTCTCTCCACCGGCGGCTGTTACGACCAGTCTCCTTCCTGGAACGACCCCACACGACTTCCTTCCCACCCCCCCCCCCCTCCTCCACACACCTGGCTCAACTTAAAGATTTTTTTTAAGAATTCTACACAGATTTACTATGAACTCCGCCCCTATGGCACCTCTGA